GTTTTGCTCGAGCTCAAAATCAAGTTTCAAGTGGCTTCAAGATTGCTAATACCGAACTAAGTATCGATTCAAACAAATCTAAATCGCGGATCGAGTTTGATGGCTACATTTCCAACAAAACTGTTGATTATGCACAAATTACAGTTTTATATGTTTTATAATTGTATAATGTCGCATAGATGCCGTCAGCTGCAGCCAAAATTGACATACTTCTTACCTATGTCTGAAAAATATGCTAATATATTTGCAGCGGACTATAATGAGCTTTTTGAGCTTTTTTTAAACTAACCTCTTGAATTCATTAATTTCGAAAAAAAATATCAAATACATGTTGTCGTATCATTTCATGCGTCAATTATCAAGTAATGCAATGCCATATCATAATAACTACACATATAGGGTGTTCCATCTATTGCTTCTTTTTTCAACTACCATTTTTTGACATGCTAAATGTGTCAACTGCCAAGCGTTTAGCACATATGAACTGTCAAATGTCTGCCACTTGTTATTATGGATTCATTAACAACGCAAGAACGCATTTTGATCGTCCAAAAATATTGTGAAAACGGACGATCTTTAAAAAGTACTTTTCGCAAATTTCGTGATGAATTTGGTCGACATAATCGTCCCACAGAGCGTGGAATTCGCTGGATTATCAATCGTTTTGAGGAAACTGGCTCAGTTGAAGGTCGTAGAATATATCAACATGCCCGTCCGGTAAGTACACGTGAATCAGTGGCCTCTGTGAGTGAAAGAGTTCACGAACAGCCGTCAACTTCGATAAGACACCGTTCGCAAGGATTGGACATCAGGTCAAGAAGATTTTAGAGGATTTTCCATGTTGATCTCCACCTATACTCATACAAGATCCAACCAACTCAACAATTGAAGCCAGCGGACCATCAGTAACGGCGTATTTTTGTTAATTGGATGCTTGAAAAAGGAGAGGGATTTTCGGCTAAAATCATCTTTTCAGATTAGGCACATTTTTACCTCAGTAAATAAGCAAGGCTGTAGGATTTGGGTTCGGAAAATCCCTACGAGATCCATGAGCAAATCTTCAAAACTACTGAATTGAAGCTCATGTATTTTACATCATTATAAACGGAATTGGAAGACCTTTAAAATAAAGTATCACTCGACCCCCCTTTCCATTTAAGATTTTGGGAGTGGTGTCAACCCCGCTTAGGCGTCTGTTTCATTTTCGATGCGCCACCCTGTATATCCATCATATTAAATATACACTTATGTTAATTTTGTTTCTTTTGTACCATATTAACTAAATACCTATTAACATCAAAACGATATTTACAACAGTAACAGTGATATTTTATGTTCAGGCCCAGGTAAACATGTTTTTCTGAACCTGATATGGCTCTACTCGTATTTGTACACTTGTAAATCGTAAATCGGCAATCGAGCAACCTTTGCAAATGGCATAAAGCGCGTATTACTTTTTGGTGGCTGATTTCACGTGATGTCACGTGACGTCGTCACTCAGTCTCACGCTCTAACAATATAGTTATCCAAATAAAAAACTTCTGGGTAGCGTCACTTTGTTATTTTTTAAGATATTAAAACAAATTCAGCGCTATACTTCATTTTGCTTAGAGTGATATCTTAAGTGAGTTTCAAAACATGTGAAACTTCCTCATTAAGTTATATGTACGTCCAATTACCGTTATGTTATTTATTTGTATTCAGTCGCTTTGAGCTTGTAGTTTTTATCAGTTTTCAGGCCATACCTTCAATGGAGCGTTTTTCAAAAAAACTTCAATGAATTTTTACATTGTATCAAAGTTTCACAATGAACTGCTGCCTTCCGAGTTATAGGGGAAACCAGGTTTATCGGACGGGTAGACAATAATTTGTTCAGGCGATTCTACCAGAAAGCGGAGATTCAACAAATATTGAAACTATTTTTAGTAGACAAAACCCTAAAAACTTTTATGGTCTTACAAGTGTAGCAGATAATGACTTAACCATGTTTCCAAAATAATAACAAACGCGGACGAGTCATAAATGTTGTGAAAAAAGGAAATGCCTTCGCTAGTGTAAAAGACTCCACTCGAGTAAGTGTAAGAGCTAAAAAGCACTTGAACAACCTGAAAACATCCTTCAACTCAACCCAATTCCGTCGAAACTATAAAAACGCTCCACTTCTATTCCCGCCCAAAACACACTCTGAATCTTACATGAACTCTAACCTTTTCTTCCCTTCGTCAACCGGAAAGAAACGTCACATCCGCACGTAGGCGTTTGCCAGCGATAATTTTGGAGCTAGATAGCAAAAAGGAGGCAAAAACAAAAATACCGAAAGTCGTTGAAACTTCATTTTTCGACGTTTCTAGTATGTAATTTCAGAGTTGTTTTGGACACGTTGAAAACTTGGAATTGAGGGTTGTACAGAGTGGGGGGGGGGGGGGGTATATTTGTATTTGGTATGAGTTGAAGACGTTCTATTATTACCACGGTAATACTAAGCATCTGATAGACATAATAGTGAAACTCAATATATCACGTGATTTAATTTCTATAGTTTGAGATTTAGAGGCTTGCTATATATCGAACATAGTTTTTAAGTGAACATACATAGTCAAGTTTCGATTGTAAGTACTAAATGGAAAATTCTATCAACGAGAGCGTAGGAAGCTTAGAGTCAATCTTTTGACGCCGTTTTTTAATCGTATTTTTTGGATTGGCATATGAACGCTTTTTTTGCGTTGCAAGGATTTTAGATGCTTATATTTAGTAGTCTACGTTGTGCGTTAACACCTGCGATCCATGTTTGAACAGATTCATGGTTGTAATATTAACATGAGAAATTGCCATTATTTTCGTACATTATATCCCTCGGTGCTTTACGCCTCAGAATATGAAATTGCTCGGACAATAATTGCACACTTGTCCACCCATGAAAAAGTATTACTTTTCAGCTAAACCCTATTCTCTTATCTTCAGGTATCAAACGTGCACGTTGTAGTTAAAATGTCTCTTCCAATGTTTCAATCAAATTGCATTTTGGAATCACCACTCCCTTCTGCAATATTTTGAGCTTTGCTTTGTATTTTTGGTGATTTTACGGGTTTTTTCCTTCCAATAAGATTCACTGCTAACCGGATTTGATTTTTCACACTTTTTATCTCCTATGCCGCTGATATGGACTTATTGTAATGGCGTAAAATTTCGAAACCGAGGGTTGAGGGTTGTATTTCAATTGTTTGATGTTAGTATGCGTATCTATACGCTCCCAACCCCTATAATTCTATGCAACTATTAGCTATTTTTTATTCATTAACCTAGAATGATAGAGAACCACCAGTGCAGGGAAAGGATGTGTATGGACTAATTGTATAGGCCTCTTTGACAGACTTGATCAGTTTAATTTCTCTGTTGTACAAGTAACTTTTTTTTCACGCAAGGCCTAACTTAGTTGTTTATGCACTGATGACCGCGTTCTGTAAAAAGTGCAGAGTCAACCTACTGAGCACAATTTTTTAGTTGTCTCGTCGACATGAAAATTTTGTCATGAAAGCATGAGCCATCCACATTTATGCTTGTGATTTGTGTTTATCCATGTCGATCTTCGATATAAAACATAGTAGTGTCTGAAAATACTACAATATTGACAGTCTGTATTAGAAGTATCACCCAATTCAGCTGTGTGTACAAGAGCGAGTAGTACCTGCGTTACGGATTGGGTAGTGCATTCTTTAATTTTCGTTAGAGAAGTTCAGCTATCCACACGGTACCGGAAGTCAAACTGCTTAATTATTTTGACTGGCATTGTGGCGTAACTATCAAAAACAGTAAAGGAACTGTACTCATCTATATTTACAAGCCAGCAAGTAAACACCGTTTGCTCTTGGGGGTTACAGAACCTACGGATTTTTCTGTATTTCTACGAAATGAGACCCTACTTATCGAAATACCGAAAACGTCATCATTTTCCACGACTTTTTAAAACAATTTATATTTCCAGATTTTTTATCGAATATGAGCTGGAACCAAAAATAAAGTTAAAAAAAATAAAATCTAGGCTATGTAGTCTTATGCCTCATAGCAGATATACAAAGGCGATCACTTGGGCAGTCGAGCACACGAGGGACGTAGATTTGGGTTCGCACATCTTTCCCTATATTGGTTTTTTAACTGAATATTAAATTGAAATGTCAGGTGACGAGGCTTCAAGTTTAGGGATGAAACAGAAAAGTATCATATAAACAAGAATGGCCAAAGGAGATTCAATGATGGTTGCAAAGGAAGAGAAGAGCGATCACTGTGCTCATTGTACAAGTTACGAGGGATGTATTTTAAGTTTTGCATATAGAAACATAGTCGGCCGCGCGGATCGAACGTCAGTACTGAATCTTTAGTAAACTTAAATTCAAAGTTTCACAACAATACGTGCAGTGTTCTCACTACAGTGAATTGTCACCAAGTCATTAGAAAAATAGAACTCAACCGAGAACATTGTCGCGCCATAATTTATTACAACTTTCAGAGACAATTATCGCAACAAGAATGCCTTGCTGAGTTACTGCCTGTTTTTGCCAACGAAGCGCCACATCAGTCGACAATTTCCCGTCGGTATGGAGAATTCAAACGTGGACGGGAGAGTCTTAGTGACGATCCCAGGGTGGGTGCATCAAAAACGACAGTCACCCAGGAAAATATCGATGCTGTGCGCAAACTCATCATTGAAGATAGACATGTGAAATATCGCGAGATTGAGGCGTCTTTGAAGGTCTCAAAGACTTCAATTCAAAAAAATTTACATGAAGAATTAGGCGTAAGAAAATTATTTTCTCGTTGGATACCCCACCTGTTGAAAACACAAAAAATGTGTATAGGATTGTTAGTGGTGATGAATCGTGGATTTACTGTTATGAACCAGAAAATAAACGACAGTCGGCTGTTTGGGTGTACCAAGGTGAAGAAAAGCCAACCAAAGTCATCCGTTCTCGAAGTGTTTCGAAAAAGATGGTCGCGACATTTGCGTCAAAAGCGGGTCATATTGCAACAATTCCTCTTAATGAGCAAAGAACTGTTACTGCGGATTGGTATACCACCATTTGTTTGCCAGCTTCGAAAAATCAACCCCGAAAGAAGAATCATCCTCCACCAAGACAATGCAAGCTCGCACACAGCCCAAAAAACAAGGCAGTATTTAACGGAAGAAAACGTGGAATTATTGGACCATCCTCCATCTAAGTCCTAACGATTTCTTTAGTTTCCCGAAAATTACAAACAGACTGCGTGGTCAAAGGTTCCAGTCACTAGAAGAAGCAGTTGACGCATTCAAAAATGCCGTTTTGGATCTGCCAGCAAACGAGTGGAATAAGTGCTTCGAAAATTGGTTCGAGCGCATGCAGATGTGTATTAACCTTCGTGGAGAATACTTCGAAAAACAATAGTCATTTAAACCTACAGTGTTGTTTTATTTCCATATGCAAAACTTAAAAGACATCCCTCGTACAGAAGAATTCAAGATTTTTTCAGGAATAGAAAACCTGTGTATATACGCGTAATACAAAAATATACTTTTTCCAAAAGTTCCTTGATCCATCGCGGATCCACGTGAAGACCCTGATTTTTCCTCCTATGGATTTTGCCCTTGAATCTACTGATTTCAACGACACTGTCTACCGATTTCATCTTTTTTGGTTCAGCAACCATAATCAAGCCAGATTTCTTCCCTCTAGTTGTAAACGTTCTTTGGTTGGAGTCCATTTACTGAGAGGTGCCCTGCGGGAGTAGACCGGTATGGCATTTGGGAGAGTTGATGGAAAATGCCTTCGCCGCCTTTTCCTTTTCCTCCTTTACGATCCCACGCAACCGGTTGATTACTTTTCTGCTGCATCGCTCACTTGACTCAAGACGTTTATTCAGTCATTATTCGGCCGGAATTCATCAAGCGAAACACTCAACCCTCCACCCCGACCGCCGCTATCTTATATTGCTATAGAATTGCCACCCTACAATCAAAGGCGTATCATCGGATTTCCCATTTGGGGATATGTTCTGACAAACGAATTTTTACTAGGTTGGAGGAATAAGATACCAAATATTAACTGGGTATTTTGCTTGTCAAAGAGAGTTCCAAGCCGCCTACCTATAACAGGTGTTTTAAACTAGACTCTTACCGTTGGAATCTCGGAAACTGTCTGAGATAAAATGACAATTAACAGTTAAATGGTTAAAGACAGACGAAAAAAAAAAGAATTTTTTCTAAAATTGTCTTAATTCTGTTCCTGGCTTTATTTGAAATGGTATTTCAAAATAAATTGCACAGCAACATACCAGTTTTTATCCTCTTCATAATGGCACAATTAAAATTTCAGTATGATCTTTCGTCTCTTTTCCTCAAGCTTTAACTTTATTTTTCATAATATGTATGCCATATTGGTGAATAGGTTTTAATTCCAAAAATGGTTATATCAGTTATTATTAAAAGAAATTATTAGTGTCGTTTGTTTCATAATATCAGATAAGCATAATTCCAGCTTCACTAAACTAGGGATACATAAATAAGTTAAATTACCGACTTTAATGAAGTGCATGGCATGGAATGAGATTATAGAACTGCAATATTCCTACAGCTGGTCTTAACTCATCGAATAAAGAACAACATAATGCTATTAATTAAGGGTAGTATTGAAAACATTGAAGCCGGTGTCTGAGATGTAATTCTTAGTGCTAAAATAATACTTGCTATATGCTTTAAATGGGCCAATTACCTAAATACTATTTGAAGATGCTTCTTAATAACTTCAGCCATCTTTATTGGAAGTGTTATCGAATAAACATGTGATAAGTTGTCAGTTCCACAGCTCACTATGAAATTATTAGTTTCTTGAAATAAGGTTTGGGAAATCAGAACTTAAGTCTTTATTCACTTGTGCAAAAATCCAGTTTGGCGTCCATCAGAAAAAATATACTTGATTATTTCGGACAAGAGATGAAACGTCATACCGAGTGCGCCATTTTTTATGTCGGTATTGAAACATCGAATGACTTTGATATTTACCAACCGAGCGATTTGGTTATAGGTGTTTCTGAAACATCAATTTACTACAATTTTAGTCATGAATCGCTTTACACCGGAACAATGCGCCGAAATAGTCACGATGTACATTGAAAATCGTCGTTCAGTCGAAAATATCGTGGCAAACAGGCACCCTCTGAAAACACTATCCGTCGTTTGGTTTCGAATTTTCTTGAGTACAGGACAGTGGGAGACCTTCAACATTCCGTACATCAACGATCAAGACGTTCCAATGTTTTGTTGGTTGAAGCGGTCAGAGACAGCGTTGCCCAGAACCCAAAAGTGTCGTATCGTCACCGCGCTCAGCCTTTTTTGGCATCAGTGGAACCACGTTGCGGCGCATTTTGAAGGATGATTTGCATTTGTTTCCTTATAAGGTGCAGCTAACATAAAAAACATTGCCAACTGACCGTCCACGTGTCTTGGAATACGCCCAAACCGTCGCTCGCATGGTTGATGTTGAACCTGATTTTTGAAAACAAATTGTGATGATCGACGAGGCCCATTTCACGCTCTCTGGCGGCGTTAATAAGCAAAACTGCCGCATTTGGGGGACGAAAAATCCACATGAGATCCACGAAATGCCGTTGCATGACCGGAAAGTGGCTGTTTGGGCCGGCGTTGGCGCCAAAACCATCATTGGGCCATTTTTCTTCAACGAAAACGAAACAGTCGATGGAAATCGATATCGGTAGATGTTGGCTCATTATGTCTGCCCACAAATGCGTGAAAAAGGTCTTGATGGTTACTGGTTTCAACAATCCAGTTTCTCCAACGAATATCCCCTGGACGTCTGATGTCAAAAAGAGGTGACAGTGACTGGTCACCCAGGTCCTCAGATTTGACCCCACCGGACTTCTTCTTGTGGGGTTATTTGAAAAGTCAAGTGTACGCCCCAGACCACTGAAGAACTCAAGGCAAACATTCGTACCGCAATCGCCGCTGTACCACCAGAGTTGCTCGAAAAAGTAATGGAAAACGGGCACATTTTGTTTTGGCCAATAAAGGTGGCTACTTGATAGATGTTGTGTTCAAAAACTAGTCCCAATGATTTGCAAAGGACCATATTTAATAAAAATACCCGATATGTAGAAATCAGTTTTTCGTTTTCAAAGTTATTTCATGTTTACATATCGACATAAAAGATGGCCCACCCTGTATTAAAATTGTAATTATGCCACCTTATAGCCACAGTTTTTTTGAATTTGTTCTTTGGGTGTCCTTAAAATGTTTTCATAAAGGCAAACTGATCTCTGATTTGTGCTCAAAGATCACAAAAACTTATGTGACATACTCTTGCAAGACGTAATTTGTATACTAAGTGACATATAAATCCGAACACCCAGTTTAAATGGTTTTATTTTAATAAAAGTTGGTGAATGTATTTATCTTACTGTAAATAACAAGTGAAAAATTTTTCAGCCTTATCAGTTGGACATTCCGGTTTTTATACTGCTTTTTTTTAATTCACTAACGCTCTAAAAATGAATATTTCAGCCGCAGTAATGAATCAACGTTGGCGGATTTTGGTACTTGACATCCTTTACGATCGGTTACGTTGCCTAGAGTACGGAGACCTGTACGATTTCGTCGACTTAGCGAGTTTGATAGGGGCCGTATAGTCGGACTTCGGGAAGCTGGACTTTCTTTTCGGGCAATTGCAGTTAGAGTGCAAAGAAGTGTAGACACTGTGGTTAGGTGTTGTCAGGCATGGCTTCGAGAAGGCCGTACGCAAAGAGCAAGGGGCACTGGACGCCGCCGTAGAACAACAGACCGTGATGATCGCCGCATAAGATTATTGGCCTTAAGGGACCGTTTCTCCACTACCAGGTCCATTGGAAATGAATGGTTTGCAGAACACGGAAGACCTATTGGCATGCGAAGTGTTTACCGACGAATGAGAAGTTTTGGCTTGTTTTCATACCGGCCACACTGGGTCCTCCCTTTAACTCGAGAACACCGACGTAATCGCCTTGAGTGGTGCAGACAACGGTCACTCTGGGATCAGGAATGGAACAGTATTGTCTTTAGTGACGAGTCTCGATTTTGTTTAGGCATGCACGATGGTCGTGCCAGGGTTAGAAGACGACCTGGTGAAAGGAGGAATCCGCAGTTTTTTGTTGAAAGACATGTTCATCACACTGTTGGAGTTATGGTTTGGGGTGCTACAGCTTATGGTTCCAGGTCACCTTTAATCTTTATATTTTACCCTATCTTGACACCCTGGCAGATCCAACTTTCCAACAAGATAATGCCCGACCACATGTTGCAAGAGTCACAATAGACTTCTTTCAACATAATGATGTCACATTGTTACCATGGCCACCAAGATCTCCCGACTTATCCCCAATTGAGCACGTGTGGGATATGATGGGTAGGAGATTGCTCAATTTGCAACGTCCTCCTCAGACTCTAGAAGCACTTCGAGAGGAGTTGGTGGTTGCTTGGAATGAGATACCACAGGAGGACATTGACCACCTGATCAGAAGCATGCCTAGGCGCGTTGGAGAATGCGTAGCACATCAGGGTGCATCCACACATTATTAAAGGTCAAAGGGCTTTAAAGCAGTGCAATCATTTTGAAATTTTTATCATTTACTTATTATGCTTCATTAAGTACTTATACAAAATTTTATTAAAATAAAACCATTTAAAGTGGGTGTTCGAATTTATATGTCACTTAGTATATGTGTCTTCAACTGAATTTATAGTAACCAACTGAGCTCAAATCTTTCAAGATTCATCCACTTTTACTAGAGTTAGAATAAGATGCAACTTTTGCCCTAATAGTCCTCAAAAACACTTCTACTTATAGTTGGCTTTCATTAACATTTATTTTTGAGTAGTTTTTGTATTAGAAAACAAAATCAATGATGGCCGCGCCGCCACTGCCCTAATATTTTTGGTCTTTATTTATTCACCCTTAACTTCTTGATTCCTTACCACGATATTTCCCGCACGAGTAGCCTATCTGACGAAATTAATCGTAAACCCGAACCCTATTTACTTTCATTCCTCGTTTTCGCTCTATAAAAATAACGAGGCAAATAATGGAAGCACACCTATATTTATGAGAGTTACAACTGGAGCATCTCTGTTGCTTTGAATAATTCACAAATACGTTTGACAATTAGGACACATAAATGGGTATTTCTCAACAAATTTATAAATTTCATTTTGGATTTCTTACAAAAAAAATAATGAAAATATATCCTTTTTTTGCAGAATTATAAAGTTTTACTTTAGTGAGGTTCATTGAAAGCGAAGGTCCTCCATATTTTTGTGTAAAACATGTAGAAAAATGACTTAAAAAAACTATGAAATGAGGAAATGACTGATAGGGTGGGGGAATGA